CAAAATATATCGATTTTTTGGCAGATGACTTTAAACTAGACAAAAGTCTAACCCCTGATGCCATTAAATATAAAGTCTTAGATGCTATAGCCTTCCACCTTTATACAATGAGCAAAAACCTTGAAGATTACTTTCCTGTAGACAAAGAATTACAAACAAATCTCAAAGATAGTTTTACAAGAGAGTTACGAGCTAAACAAAACATTATTATACCTCCTGAAGACCTTTTAGCTATTAAACAATTAAATAAGGAGCAACAAATTGCATATAATCGTATTATATACTGTGTAAAAAATAACATACCAAAGGTTTTCTTTCTTGAAGGCCCTGGAGGTACCGGCAAAATATTTTTGTACAAGGCACTTGTTGCTACTGTAAGATCTAAAAAACAAATTGCTCTTGCTACTGCTACGTCAGGTGCAGCTGCATCTTTGCTCCCTGGTGGTCGTACTTCACACTCAAGATTTAAGATTCCAGTAAATCAAGATGAATCTGCACCTTGTAGTGTGTCAAAACAGAGTACTCTAGCTTATCTATTACGAGTAGCAAAGTTAATTATATGGGATGAAGCAACGATGGCAAAACGTAACATCATTGAAAAATTTGACACTATGCCTAGAGATATAATGAACTCAAATTTAATTTTCGGTGGTAAGATTGTTGTTTTTGGTGGTGATTTTCGCCAAACATTACCTGTAATTTTAAAAGGTACAGAAGAGAATATCATTAATGCTTCAATTGTTATGTCGCCGTTGTGGAATCGGCTTGAAAAACTCAGATTGAAACAAAACATGAGAGCATGTCTTGATCCACAATTTTCATCTTACTTATTAAAACTAGGAAACGGTATTGAACAAACCAATGAAGATGGGGAAATAAGATTGCCATCAGAAGTAATCATTCATTTTACTGATGAATCTACTTCAGTGGATACATTAATTCACAGAGTATTCCCTGGTATTACGAATCCCGATTTTGATATTCTACCATATGTAAATAGAAGTATACTCACTACAAGAAACGAATTTGCTCATGAGATTAATAATATCATAATTCAAAAATTTTCTGGGGATGAAGTGATCTATCTGAGTTGTTATGAGAGTACAAATACATTTTCAGTGCCTGACCAACAAGAATGATTTCATGCTCTAACACCTCAAAGGCTACCACCACATAAACTAATTTTGAAAAAGAATGCACCTATTATTTTGCTTAAGAACATTAACCCAACCGAAGGACTATGTAATGGTACACGTCTTCTATGCATTGATTTCACCACTAATGTTATCTATGCTAAAATTTCAGTTGGTCCATATGTAGGAAAACCAGTCTCTATTCCTCGAATTACACTAAATGCTCCACAAGATAACTTTTCATCTATTCCATTCAAAAGAAAACAATTCCCTGTAAGACTTTGTTTTGCTATGACAATTAACAAAGCACAGGGGCAAACATTGGACTTCATAGGTATATATTTAAAGGAACCAGTATTCTCACATGGACAACTTTACGTTGCATTATCAAGAGCAAAAACCATACATCAACTTAAAGTACTAATTAGGCCTGCAACAACACTCATAAAGAGTACTGACTACACAAAAAATGTCGTCTATCGTGAAATATTAGACACAGCAACTATGAACCAAAGCAGTTCTTTATGATGTGGGAAAACTATCTACTGAAAAGAATTTTTTTATGTAAGAAATTAGTCCTTACATAATTTGTAAATAATTTATTTAGATCATAGCCTATTTTACATGAATTCATAATATAACAGGAAATTCAGTTGCATTGTTTCTACTAAGAACATCATTTTGTAGCAATGTATTTAACCATGTGCTTATTTTCCTAAATTCAATTACTGTAAAACACTTCTGCAATGCATATTTCTTCATTTACACAAACTTGTCTCAAATTTGTGCAGGCTAACTGAAGAGAAATGCATAGCACTTGCCAATCTTGAGCCCACACTTCGTGAGTGTATACCCGGGTACTAATTATCGGAAAAACACCATTGAAGAAGTTTCAGTCTGGAAAGACACAGCTAAAACTTGTTCTCACTGATCACGAGGTACCACTTTCTTTCTCCCTAAATTTTGATCCAATAATTGCATTGTGCGTATTCTGGGGGGCCTGGCTTATGAAATAATTAGTCAAGATTCATCGTCTTTTAACTTTTCTTGAGTGTAAGAAATAAGAAATGTCCTTCTGCATTTGTTTTTTCCTTTTTTCCCTTTTTTTTAAGATCTGATTTTTCCTTCCAGCAGAAATGAGGAATTTTTTAATCGTGTTGATTTTAATAGTTCATTTTGCATTGTCAATGTTTAAGATAGCTGAATGTCGCTAGATAGTAGATGTTATTGCGTTCGGGTGAATTTCGGATAATGTGTGATTGAGATTTTGCCTTTACTGAGACATCAGTACAAAATTGTAGTACCAAACAAAATAAACCGATATCTAAATACCTATCTGAATAAGGTTATTGTACACTGAACAATAAAAGTTATTTGCTCATGGTTTTACCTTTTCTAGGGGTGAATGAATTTGTAAACAATTCTCTTTTAGTGGTGGTGGGATATTGATCGATTTTAACAATCGAATATGTATAAGCTTCAAATCTTTCGATGTATCCTATAGTTTGGAGCATTTTCTAGCTTCTTTTACATCAGCGATTTATTTTGATCCGATTTTTAAATGTGCATTTTGCGGACAAAAAGAAAAGGTTAGAGTTAGCAAACTTATTAGAATACTCGAAAAAGTATTAGAAACTAATGATTGCATTATAAGAAGAAATAATTTATTTTTAATACTTTTCGTTTGAGCTTTATACATTTATGTTACTGAATATTTATACAATTAAGTTTCAGTTGAGGAGTCACAACACCAAACCAACTTAACTTTCTTTCAAAAATCATAATTTCTGATTTGATAAAGATTTTTCCGTTTGTACTCAGTAATTTCTAATACGGTTTGATTAAAGGTTTAATTCTATGAATCAATTTATACTAATTCAAACTACTTGTGGACAACACACCAAAATACAGTGCATCGTATTCTACCCAGACGCCCCAGATCTTGATGAAGTGCTGAAACTCTACAAGACTTACTACATTGGAAATGGAAAAATCATGGCGCTAAACAGAAACTTCCCCATTCTGGTGGCTTATAAATACCAGATGGTTCTCAGCAGGAGCGCCTACATTAAGGCAACAACCAAAGAAGAAGATCTATCGCTGGATAATGTTTACCAGCTGACACCATTTGCAGAATTTTCAGAATTCTTGGGATCATCGGATGAGAGAGTCGGTAAGCTCTTTGTTTCAGTATTTTTAGCAAACTGAAACCATCTAAGATAAAGGAAAACCCCTAACGATTGTCTCTCCTTCCCAGATGTACTGTGTGGTGTTATACACTTTCTGCCACCATGTTTTATTCAGAGTAAAGGAAAACACATACAAGAGTTTGTTGTCATGAATGAAGAGTATGCATCACTTTTTTAGCAAGATTTTTTCTTTTTTACTTTCTTTCACTATGTGAAATATACAAAAAAAAATCCATTACAATATCTTTGTTGCTTTCCAGATCAAAACTAATGCTACTGAGCTTGTGGGAGGAATCTTTACAAACAGAAGGTGAACATTTGGTTAACAATATTCACAAGAACTCGATAATAATCGGGACAAGATTGGCCGTCACCACTTTTCACGGTAAAAGATAGTTTTCTTATGCTCTTAATCTTCCCCGTTTATTCACACCAATTTCGCTACTCTTTATTTCATGTCATGTCTACGTACATATCAATTAATTCCGCCCGTAAAATGCCAGGTATGTCCCTTAATGCACAACTCAACAGTGTCATCTTGTTTGACCCGCCGATACCTGAAGCTCACCTGCTCCGATCATGGTAATTATATAATTAAATTTAGTGTCTAAATGATTGAAATTTAGCGTCATCTCATCTCATTCTGAATTCATTACTTCTAGATTTACGAAACACCCCGCAGACATTAGCTTCTATGTTGACAGATTTCAATACTTGTTGGCCTTCGATTTATTACACATTACACATATTTAGTTACATAAAAACCCATAATACCGTCATTCCCATGGAACTCAACAACTCCAGTCATGGGAAATACATGTTTAAAATCACCATATGAAGCTCAAGAACTACCTACATGCCTTAATGTTACAACGATTCTTCTGTTGAATTAGTTTGAGATGTTTTCGAATTGAAATTGAAAGTCACTGCTTTTCTGCGAGCAACCAGATTAAATAGAAAGACTTAATAGATAGCATGTCCAATTAAATACATTCTAATAGCACTTCTTCCCTTTTCAACTTCGGAACATTCTGATAAATGTCTATTTATAGAACACATAAAATTTATAAATATATGCATAAAGTTTTCCCTCTCACATAACATTTTCACTTGTGATTTCATTTTAGGTTAGATTCCAACACAGAATACATAGAAGCTGTGGTCTCTCAAAAATTATATGAAAAACAGCATCAAACAATTACAACACCAAGCACCTCTCGCATTCACAAAATTGGTCAAATAACAAACTCCAGCAACCCGGTATCAGAACATTTGTACTCCTTCTTTATCTCTGTTTTAACCATTAAAAATACTGCCATTATATAACCTTTTCCACTCAAATGTATTTGCATATGCAGCCTAAATCATTTTGGGTAAAAGCAAAGGCATCCATCGTCAATACGGATCAGCATCTTTACATATTAACATGCCCAAATTGTTCCAGAATGTGTGGTGGATCTCATCCGAAGAGCTTTACTTGTCTATACTGCAAAACAGATCAGCCCTATTCAAAACTTGCGTAAGTCCACTTATTGTCTCAGTGGCATATGTTATCTATATCTTGAAATTAACAGGTTGTATTAGTAATTTGATCCTCCATTATATAGAATTAACAAGTTTCATTAATAGACTTCAGTTCGAAATACAACTCACAGATGGAACAGGCGATCTCACCACCCTAATTGAAGCAAAGGAACCTGAAAATCTTCTCACCATGACAGCTAATGAACTGATTAAACTCCAACAACAGGTACTCTTCTTCTCTTCCTCTAACACATAATATCACCTCATCAACAGTGTCCACACATATGAAACTGAACCGGCCATCTGACTTTTTCCCTTTATCTACACAGCAAAAACACCTAGACATCGACCGAATCAACAGTGAGTTTGAAGATCTAGACAGACCCTTCCACTTGCGTTCAAGCACGAAGGCTACAAAAGAAGCACCTACGAAATACATTGTTACTGCATATGTTCTCCCATCTTCACCATCTTTAACACCAGCAGAATTCAGCGACAAAGAAATCTCTTCCAACATCCCGTAAATAACAACTACAGACATAACAATGACCGAAAAAAGAAACAAGAGCATCTACTCAACCACAAAGCACAAACCCACCTGCAAAAAGAAGTTTCACATCAACAACAAAATCAGCACATCGAACAACCAAACATGCCAAACAAGACTAAGAACCAAGAAAAACCACCTTTTGGTACGTATTAGGAACAGCTCTTAACTACTTCCAATAGGAGCTGACAATAGAGCAATACTTGGTCTCTATTTTTTGGCAAACATGACTACCATACATATCCCACAAAATCATGTTTGCATAAATATATATTTTGTGTACATAGCGGTTGTTGTAGTTAATGGTGTTCCTAATGTAATCAAATGTTATATACTCAATGCTGTTGCGTATCAATTTAAATTCTAGCAATTTCCAACTTCAAATACCCTTTATTATCAATGTCAAATCTCATGTGGACAGACCACGCATGGTTTAGAAACCGAAATAACCAAAAAAAATTTTAAATCACAAAAATCATAAGAAAACAAAATACACATAATAAAGGTCTGTTCTTAACAACTAAAGGTCTGTTCTTACCACACACCTCATTTTGCTACCACGTATCACCACACCATGCCTTACGTAACAACTAAAGGTCTGTTCTTATATAACATCTGGACTACACCTATATAACACACACTGACAACTTTCCCTACGTGTATATTTACAAACACCCCAGCCGGCCACCTCTTCAATTAAACATCTTCAAATATCATCAAGCCCTTCACTAACACATTGTACTCCCTTATTCAAATTTTCATACACTAAATGAATTTATTAAACTAAAAACGCAGTCCAACCCCCATCAAGCTGAATACGGCTCGAGTATTGTCCCTAAATTCTCATTTTACTGTCATTTTTTCCTCTTTCTTTTATTTTTCTATATTTTCTAATTCATTGTTCCTATTTATAATACAACTTGCAGCTAAAATTCTGAACTCACAAAATGGCGACCCCTAAAAAATGTACTTGCATCCACTTGCATCCATTGTGGACTGTGCACATACAACTCCTGGTTTGAAAGAGAAGTCGACGAATTATTAAAACAACTTCTATCTCATCCACTATGGAAATACATCTTAAAAACAGCACTCAACAGAGAATGGAGACTTCTACTTCTACTGCAACGAACTACAACCATCGAAGCCGAATTGAACAGTTCTGCTCATTTCATGTAATCTTATATCATGTATTATGTTCATAGCGGTTTTTTCTTGCTATGTCAATACCCTCTGTACAATTACTCCAGCAAATTGTATATCATCTAATAAAACAAAACTCACCTACTTCTTACTATTTATTAATTTGTTATCAAATATTAATAATCCGGGTCCCCTTACACCCACCACCGCACCTCGTGCGGTACACCTCCATCTAGTATAACTAAAGGAGGGATATACATATGTTGGAGGATCGAACTGTTGAGCGCCCTTATTGTTTCATTTGAGCGCCCCCGAAAGACGGACATGCTCCTGCAAATGGAGGTAAGTTTTTTTTTTCAAAAAAAGGAGGGGGGGGCGAGGGAGAAACGCGCCAGCCGTTGCCACCCCCATAGGGGTGGCGTGCAATAAACTCGCCTCCCTTTACAGGGAGGCGAGACGGGCTTCGCCTTAGGCGAAGGTCGTGGCGCCAGATTTGGCGCCACCTTTGTCCGGTTGGCCCGATGGGTGGCGCCCGATTCTCTACAGCAGTATGATACTTTACAGCGTACTTCGGACCAAAAAAACATACACAAAGCGAAAGAACATCAATAGTTGGCATAGAATACAGCTTTTGACAACCTTTCAAGTCCATATTCAATTAGAAGTTCTAGACAAGCACAGTAGTAGTGTTTCGAGCATTCTCTACAGTAGTATGATACGGATGAGTCCAGAAATCAAGTCTACAACTACAGAAATCAATTGCGTAAGGAGGGGTTTCCAATTCTAGATGACCTGGCTGCCATGGAATTATGAGAAAGGTGTTAGAGGTCACAGAACAATACAAATACATCATCTTCACGGAGTGCGATGAAGAGACACAGAGGTTATCCCACGTGTTTTTCGCACATCCGGATTCTTTGTTGCTGTTGCGGATGTAGCCTTGGGTTGTTTGTGTAAATTTCACATACAACACAAACAAATATAAAATGCCTCTTGTGGAGTTTGTTGGAATGACCCCTTGCAATCAGACCTTCCTTATAGCATATGCTCTTCTGAGTGATGAGACGGGGCGGGGCAACAAGACTAGAGTTCCAGATAGTTATATGTCACCTTGAGCCTTACCAGCACTTCATTCGACTCAATCTGCAGGGTGATTTTCCAATTCCCCCTATTCACCCCAGTTGGCGGCATGATCGTGATAGTAGTGTTATTGGTTGGGAAGTACCTCTTGAACCCAGAATGCAGCTATGCCGTACTTTGGTCCCGATAAGACCCACACAGGAATTTTGTGATCTCGGGTGATATGTTGTTTATATTTTTCTTTTTATGCAATTGGTGAAATTTTATGATCTCTTTACATAAATGTTCACATAAATGAAAATAAAATTGAAAATCAACATAAGTCCATAATGTTCACAAAAATGAAATCGTTACATAAATGTTTTAAAAAAAAAGCACTGAGTAGAATGTCATGGGGCCAAGAAAAGCAGTGTGGGCTTCATCGTCAGGTAATCTCTTGGTTCTCCATTCCACAACGCTTAAGCAGTGTGGCCAAGAAAACTAGGAATCACTGACCCATCACATGGCCCGCCAGGTACATCGTCCGTCACAACCCAATCATCAATTTCTTCGTTAGAAACCTTAGACCGTCTACTAGTACCTGAAACCTGAATAAAGAATAGTTGATAAATACTTAACCGAATGCAATTAAGAAATTGACCAAGTAGTAATGAATGCTGAAATATTTACAAATACGTACCTGATGACGTTGCAGCTACCTCAGGACGGCTAGAGGCACCAATGGATGCGCCACCAAAACGGGAACGAGGCTGACTAGTCAGAGGGGGACCTCTAAAAAGAGTACTCTGCGGGCTGGCATGATGAAGAGTACTACTAGGATCTCTAAAAAGAGTACTCTGTGGGCCGACACGAATACTGGAACCATCAGGAGTGTAAGCTGAATTCAGGGCCGATAATCCAACAAGGGTGTTCCCCCCCGGGTAGGGTGAACTGGAGTCTGATCATCAGTACGACCAATGGGGTTCAGTACTGAGTTACCTCCAAAATGTATATCCCTCCTCTCAGGCGAGGAATACTCGGCTGCCTCATCCTCCTCATTCACATCGTCCCCCTCCCCCCCTCCCCCACTCTCAAAACTATCCTCTGCTGATTCCTCTCTCTCAAAATCATCATCATCATCTACGTTGGCTGACTCACCAAGTGGGCCAAACGTAGGATGTATATTTTTCACTTTCTTTAAGTTTTTTTCTTTTTCTATACGATGTTCTGCATACAGATTGCGCGTAACTGCATGCCGATGTCCAGATCCCTCAAGAGGCGATATCACATCCTACAAAAGTTTTAAATTTTACACGTTACTTTAATTAATCCTGAATGCGTCCCAAAAAAATTAATAATTTAGGTTAATTACTTTAATATAGGTTTATATTATTTAAATACCTAATTATAAAGTTATCTACTATACATTTTAAGTGTACAATTTATTAAATCTACTAAGTACAATTAATAATATCTACATATTTTATTTTTTATTTGTTACCAAAATTAAATAAATATTTAATTTATTATTTAATTTTAACCACAATTAAATAAATATTTTATTAACTCTAATTATCTACTAACCTCTTTTTTTTATTTACTTTGTACTTATTTATTTAATTTTCCTATACTAAGTATTTAATTTCTACGTTTAATATTTTTTTGAGGCTAATTACAATTAAACCGACTAATCCTACAAATATATTTTCTATAATTAAATTAATTATAATAACTTTCATAATTTTTTAAATTAATTTAAAAACCGTGAAGCTCCCTAAAACTACAATTGAATTCCTAAAACTACAAAAGTATTATAACTAATATTTACTGAAGATTAAACATATACTTTTAATGATAATGTTTCCTAAATAAATTCAACTAATAAAAATAAATTCCTACCATTAAACTACAAAATCATAAATTTAACTAATAATAAATAATTAAACTAAATTTCATAAGATTTACAATTACTAATAATAAGAATTAAATTAAAATTACTATACAATTCATAAATAACAATTAAATTTAAATAAATAATATAAAAAATTAATATAATACAAAAAAACAAAACCTAGCCGTAGATATGACTTGCGCCAGAAATCTCGCCAGCGCTAGCGCTGGCGAGACCTTTCGCCCCCTCCCCCTCTTTCGGCGGCGAAGAAAGGGGCGCCACCCCAGCTGCGGCCGGCGAGGGAGAACTGTGCCGGGGCAAGTAGAGCTGGCGCGCACACGGGTGAAGGGATTGAACCATCCAACATCTGGGAGGCTACTAAATGCCCTAAAAATGTCCCTTGAGCACCCTAATATAACACCAAAAGACCTTTTTGCCCTTACATGATTTTATAAATTAAGAGTTTCAATTTCATTCTTTCAATTCCTAAATCAATCTTTCATTTCAAATGCTCTCAATCTAAACTCCCAAAAACTTAGATTCAATGGCTGAACGAATAAAACGATTACGGAAAGAACTACGGAAACTGAAAGTACGTAAAAATTTGAATTATTTTTTTCAATTACATTAAATTTGAACTGTTTAAAAAAAAACTAACTAGCCCCGGCCAGCGAGGGAGAACCGCGCCGGGGCAAGTAGAGTTGGCGCGCAAATCAGCGCCAAACATTCAACGCCTCACTTCAAAGTAGTTCCTCACGTGCCGCTCACCACGTGCCTTGGTTGCATCGTCCCCCGTCCAAATGCGGTGCGCTCCACGTGTCATAGTCTTATTCTACCCCGCCACTTTTGTTATTTTGCTTAGTCTTGTTGCTTCGTCGTCTTCCGTTAAGTGTAACCAAAA